CCGCCTCAACATCACCCTTGTGTATCTGCGGAAGCATTTGACATAGCAAAACGCGGTGGACTGTTGAAAACATCTATAAAGTCCTGTGTCCAGAAAAATTAAAAAACATGGTGCGTACGTTTCATGACAGGATGACGGCGCCTGTCACAGACAACGGGCCAGTCGCCGAAGCATTACCAATGATTAGCAGTTTTATCAGGGTTAGGTATTCGGTCCCACGCCATGCCGAGACAAGTGCAACTGAGGTGTTGGGACCACCTGGTGAGAATGGACGATGAACGACTACGGAGATGTCGCTGTGCGTTCTCGCCGACAAGGAGGACAAAAGCGACGCTACAAAGACACCCTGAAGAATTCCCAGAAGCAAATACAAATCACCTAGAGAGCCTGGGAGGACCACGACGAGGACCGACCTACACGGAGAGGGGCAATGAAGGTCGGTGTCGTAGTCTACGAAACCGATGAAACCACAACTGTCAAGGAAAAATAGGCGGCTTGGGAGTTGCAAGCATCTCGGATCCCCAGCATTAACGCTCAAGTCCTCCCAACATGCCCATGCTGCCAACGCATTTTCCGCGTGCGAATCGGCCTCTTCGGACATCCCCGGACACAATGCAATAACACTCCAACGACATCAAGTTCTACAATGACCAATGCCCCAACAGTTCTCTGTTTTAAACTTCACAACGGCGACCACCCCCATAATCTATGCTCGACCTTCCAATACCCCATCGCCATCAGTCACCGACACCATTCTCCCTATCGCCAACATCGCGGCGGCCACAACCGAAGTGCTACTTGCTACTTCCCCCACCACCGACCCTTCCACTAGCAATGGAGACTCGGGTCTAATCTGTCCCCACTGCGGTCGTATATTCACTTCACACATCGGCCTAGTTGGTTACTTGCGAATCCATTGCAAAGAAACTGGCGAACCAGTGCCAAAACGCAGCAAAGATCGCCGCCTCCACCGTATTAACTGCTCTCGTGCATTAGCTAACCGCACGGGCCTACTCGGTCACATGCATATCCATGGCAGACATATGCGATGCCGACATACATAACGGAGCCTGCACGCCCGTCAATAATTCCACCCCAGCCTTTCAATCGACGTGACCACCAACGCCAGCACCGTCACCTTGACATCTCCCAATCTATTCTGTTCTCACTTATACCGCACATGTACATCACTTGTATACGACCCGATTGGCTCCTATTGTTGGATGAATCGGCTTCACGGATGGCGGCAACCGAAAGTGAGCTCTTCGCAAATGTGAACCCTGTGTTTGCTTCAGTGTCGCAAGCCGTCAACGATTACGAAGGCCATGCGTCCGACGTCCGACTTGGCAGTGTTCAGCCACTTCTTCAGTCGACCGCCATGTCGGTATCTCCAGTTTGCACTAAGTTAGGGATTCAGGGAAAATCTGCAGAGATCTGTTGATGGTTTGCGCAGGAAATGGCCAAGCCACTGCAATCGGCGATACTGGATATATGATGCTAGACCTGGTAGGCTTGTGAAGCAGTGTCTAGGGCCTCGGCATACGGTCGCCGCACCCGTCTTAACTGTACACGTACATCCCTACACCTCAAGGGCCTATTAGGCTGTACATACCTA